TTGAAAGTATCAGTGGGATTTCAGAAATTAAGGCTTGCTTAGCCTCTATACTCATGGCGTCCTGAAACCTCAGGTAGCTGAGGCCTTAAGACCTGTGGGATACTGAGGGAGAGCCAGGCCATGAAGGGATGCTACAGACCCTCCATGGTAGCAACTAGATGGCTTCTAGGTCTCAGGTGCCATGGCTCGTCACAGTGGGTGGTGACTGTGCCCATATGGATCGGTTTCAGAGTAGATCTATCAAAATATCGATGTCTTTAATATAGTTTTAAGCATTTAGGTAATTTAACATTCTTGGTTTGGCCTTTCATAACTATGAATGACGTGATTTACAGCATTGCTAGGGCCTGTAGGCTTTGCTGGAGCATCAGGTAAAGGAACTAATGTAAGCCAGGGACAGTATCTGTTGAGCACCTGCTAGACACAGACTACCTTACTAGGCCATTTCAGAGATACAGAAAATATCATAAAGTCATGATTGAGTCCACACTTTCCTTCTGATATTTATTTGTAAGGAATTTTATTTGCATCTGGGAGAGCTCCATTAGTCTCTCTTTTTAACAGCCAAATCTAAAACCTACTCTCCCAGTTTCTTGTAAAGATCAGCGCATCTTTGAATTGTCCTGGTTTTTTGATAAGTTTTCCAGCTTTTATACTAATTAAGGCAAACTGGATATAAATGTGGTGTTATTCTTGCTGACTACTGTTGCAGACCAACAGGTTCACAGTTTCCAACATCCTACCCATTTATAACTGAAACTTAACAGTATGTCAGCTGATTTTTAAAAGGACAGGTGGTTTTCTGATCGTTCACTATGACTTCCTTTACAGCAAGGGCTTGACAGCATGATTTCCCCACTTCTATATCTAGAGCGTTCTTGAAAATGGTTTAAAGTCAAACGACTATGCCTGTATATATGTATAGGCATACATACACGCACATACACATACATATATGTTTTTTATATATATATATATATACACACACACACATACATATATTTTCACAGAGATTGTATCTCAAAATAATGGCAAAATAAACAATGATGTTTCCTGCCGGCACCGGTGATACACTCTCCTGTCTCAGGATGATCCAGGGCTGAAACACAGATAAGCCAGGGCCTCTGCCATTTCCCCATCACCATAGAGACAGGCGTGTGCAGACAGGCGGCACCCTTTTCCATGGACTGTCTCTCCTGACCCCTCTCTGGACTCTGTCAGTGCTTGCCCATGGCCACCAGCGTTGAAGTTTTCCTGTGTGACTTCCAAGGAGAGCAGCTGGGAAGGGAGAAGAAGGGCCAGGAGACAAGTTGGTTGGCATCCCGGGCAAATTCTGGGACGTCACAGGAGCCTCAGTCCTTAGGAGGGAGCGAGTCACAGGTGCTTCTGTGTGGAATGTCACGCTCTCAGTAGCGCACACCTGTAGGGACCTCAGCTGCCTCTGAGGGGTCTGGCTGTGTCCCCACAGCACAGCAGCTGGGGGCAGGCAGGCAGCACCAGCGCACGGTGACTGGGGTTGGCTGACGTGATGATACACAGATAATTTAAAAGTGCAGCTCTCCCCCGCCCAGCACGCCCTGACTCCCTTCCCTGCTTGCTTTTTCTTACTAGTGCTTATGGTATTATGATGTGGCATAAATGCACTTTTAAAATGTTATCATCCATCTTCTCCAACTAGAACGAAGTTGCGTTTTAGAGCCAGGGGTTGGGGGCGGTTGTCTGTTCACTGCTGTATTCCAAGTTCTGGCACATAGGCATTCAAATATGTTCAATAAATTCAGGAATGGATAAACCAAACTCCTCATCAGCACAGCAAAGACGGTTTATGGGACATATGTGCGATAAGACTGTAAGCTGTGTAGAAGCAGAGAGGGCCTGTTTTAGAAAAGAAACCTGGAATTTCTGTCAGCAAAATGCAGTTAAACATTTTAACTGTTAAAGTCCCTTTTGCTTATTGTATGTTAAACTTATAATTCTTACAGGTTTCATAGAGCTTACGTAGTTTGGGGGGGTGGGAAGAAAAAGAGGATTTGGTACAAGACCATACCGTCAGATGATGAGGTAAGATGTGATGTAAGTGTTGTCGGAGCACAAGCTCTGAAGCCTGCGTAAGTTCACATCTCAGCTCTGCCATTTAACCTCCTGTGCCTTACTTCTTGTGTCTGTAAAATGGAGATAACACATACCTCATTGGGGTTTTGTTGTGAGCATGACACGAATGACTGCGTGTAAGGCACCTTGAGCACGGCCGGCACGTGGAGCAGCCCGTAAGTGTTAGTTGCTGTTAGTAGTAGTGTGATGCAGCCACTGCCGTCACCATCGTCTTTGTGCCTGAGTTCTAAGGACATTTCAGAGCTAAAACGTTTGCCACAGAGATTGTTTTTGCATGGGTATGATATTGAATTCTGTATCTTATTTTTAGCATCTTTTATGTGTAAACACTTCAGTTAGATTTTTCACCACTGTATTTTATGCTACAACTGATGTCTGTACCTCTTTATTACATACTGCTGCTAAAATGGGCATGGTTACGGACGTTTGACTAATTTCTGTAATTAGGAAGCATCTTAATCTTTAGTAGGTGTAGTCAGTCCTTCCTTCCTTCCTTCCTTCCCTCCCTCCCTCCCCCCTTCCTTCCCTCCTTCCTTCCCTCCTTCCTTCCTTCCTTCCTTCCTTCCTTCCTTCCTTCCTTCCTTCCTTCCTTCCTTCCTTCCTTCC